CAGCTCCTGAGACCCAACGCCGGCAATTCTAAGGGTCACCGGCGCACCGCACACGGTCTTTGAAGGTCCCATAACGGCCTCTGGAATACCTCATGTACATAGAAATATGGATGCCCATTGCCCACGCCGTTTCTTGGGCTCCCACACCGGGCTCTTTGACACCGTTCGCCGGCTCCATGGGGTACCAACTACCATACCAAGCTAGCTCGCATGGAGGTCCTCCACCTTCTCTTGGCGCCCGAGTAGCCTCGATGCCTGAATAGGGCCCCGAGACATCGACCTTGGCCAAAAAGCGTTCGTGTAGGCCCTCAGAAACTGGTGTGAGCCCAGAGATTACTGTGTGGGCTACTCAGGCACTTCTGTCGGGTCATCATGCATCGATTGGGTCCGAGCTAGTGAGGGTTATCAGAAGCATCCTTTAGCCCTGCGACTTCAGAGGTTGGTGTGAGATCCTAAAAAAGAAAGTGAGGGCAATCCGAGGCTTGCAAAGGGCTTTTCCTCGGAGGTCGGCCTTGGCCGAACGGCGTTCCTCGGTGTAGGGCGCTGAGATTACTGAATGGGACTCTCGAGTATTGGCATGGGGCCCTCAACTATCAGCACGGAGTCCTCAGGAGCCGGTAAGGGTTCCTCTGCGGCATGCATAAGCCATCCGATCTCAGAGGCCGGTGTGAGATCCTAAACAAGAGCTGAGTGCACTTAAAAACCTGCGTAGGGCCCTCAGAGATCAGCTTTGACCAGACGGCGGTCGTGGACGCCCTTAGAAACTGACGTAGGGGCCGCCTCAGTCGGTCGGCCCTCTCACATCAGCCTGGGGATCTCAGGAATCGGCCTGGGGCCCTCAAGAGCCGGTTAGGGCCCTCGGAAAGTGGCATTATACCCTGAGATAGCTGTGTAAGGCCCTCAGGTAACGGCTTGGGGCCCTCGGGCATCGGCCTGCGCCCTCGGGCATTGGCCAGAGGTCCTTGGATATCGGTCTGGGGCCCCTCAAGAGCCGGTTAGGGCCCTCAGAAACTGGCGTGGATCCCTGAGCTAGCCATGTAGGTACTCAGACACCGGCGTGGGACCTTTAGACATCGACTTGGTGCCCTCGGGCATCGGCCTGGGCCCTCAAGAGCCGGTGGGAGCGCTAAAAATGGCGTGGGTGGGGTTCTGAGATAACCCCTGAGATAACACTAGAACCTGTTAACGCCTTCAGGCACCGGTGCGGGACCATCAGGCTCGCGCTGGGGCCCTCGAGAATCGGCTTGGGACACTCAAGCGCCAGGGCCGCATGGGCCCCCACAACGAACTGTGGGTGTGCAAAAATAGGTGTTTGCACACCCTCAGGATTTTCAGGGTGTGCAATTGCACACCCTGCCCCCCGGAATCCGCGGTCCCTGCCTGCTGTATTGGTGTAACATGCTGACCAATTGATTATTTCAGGCTTGCTAAAACCACAGTTGATTTTTATGTGTACTGTGCCCTCCTGGTTTTGTTTTGCTAGTATGTTCTTTCTAATGACTCGAAAGTCATTTTATAAATTAAATTTAGGTACTCCCTCCATTGTAATGCACATTTTCAAAGCCCCCAGATAGTTTTAAGGCCAAAATTGGGTAGGTTAGTCGTAAAGCAGAGAGGCGCTTTACCCAGACTCCAGAGATGCTTTCTAATCGGACCAAACCAAACCAAACCTAACCAAACCTGACCTAAACTCACCTACAACCTACAACCAAAAACATGCAACCTACAACCTAAAATCTACCACCTAAAACCTAAAACCTACACCCTACAGCCTAACCTACAGCGCATCTCCTTGGTTGCAAAAAGAAGTGTGACGCCTGCTTTACTACTACCCAAAATTGTAACTTTGCCAAGTTGAGCTTTCTTAATTTGTCCATATTTTATAATGTTGGGGGGGCTGCCTGGCAAGTTGGGGGGGGGGGCTGACCAGCAGGTTGGGGGGGGCTGAAGCCCCCCCAACTGTATAGGATCCTACGCCCCTGCTCTCTCTCTCTCTCTCTCTCTCTCTCTCTCTCTCTCTCTCTCTCTCTCTCTCTCTCTCTCTCTCTCTCTCTCTCTCTCTCTCTCTCTCTCTCTCTTCTTCTTCTTCTTTTTCTTCTTCTTCTCCATCGACTCCATCGACTATCGATAAGTTGCAATTTACAAGAAGGTAAGCAGGCTTCTAGTTAACTGGTCTATTCCTTTTTTGCATTTGCATACGATAAACACGTTTCCATAAAGATGTTGATAGTCGGCTGACATTCGCGTGGCACATCGATTAGAAGAATCACTGCGAAGCTCACCACCACAGTCAGCCATCAGCCCCACCGTCGCGCCGCGATTCTCCACCGTTCACCACGGCGCGGCGTGTCAAGTGGCGTTCATAAATCGGCCGCCGCGCCGTCTGTGAGCCGTGAGAGCGGCGATTACACGTGTGTGCGCGCCGCTCGTGTGGTCCACAGCCGCGAGAGAGCAGTCATTACCGCGATTACAGTGGTGACGCGCCGGCCCGGCCCGGCCGCCGGGGTGGCGGTATGTGCCGCTCCGCTGAGGTGGCGGCCCGCTCTCAGCGGCTCCGTCAGGTGGCCACTCTTTACCGGTCCGCCACAATAGCCAATGACAGCGAATACGGGTAATTTGCCTTTGCGGCCATCATTGCGTACTGTGGCGCTGTGAAAGCAGGCACGACAGTGGAAAATTTATCGCATTCTCGGCATTTTTGGGCCGGCGGCGCGGCGAGATCAAAGGGGCGGCGGAGGATAGCCGGGCAGGGCCGGGCGGGGCCGGGCGCAGGGGTCGGGGGTCGCCAAATGCACCCGTGTTACCCCCTTACCTGCCTAGTGCCTAACTCTGCTCGCCGCGATGGCTAACGCACTTAAGGTCACTTATCTACTGATACACACCTAACCAAACACCCACACCTTCCCAGGACGGCCGCCGCCCCACGACCGACGACCACCGGCGGCGTCTGTTCCGGACAGGTGTCGGGAGCGTCACCACCGCCGCTGCAGCGTCACCTCCACCCTCTCAGTGAGGCCGGATGTTTGGAGCCAGCAGCCACCGCCACCCACGGGTGCGCCGAGTGATCCCCACAATACACCCCCGGTGGCCCGCCGGACGCTCAAAGGGGTCGCCAAGTGTGAACACATGCTCGCCGGGGAGCGAACAAGGCGCGGCACTTTGAAGTCGCGCTCTGCTGAGAAGAGATGCCTGAAGAGGCACGGGACGGCCTCAATGTGACAACTCTTGACTTTTGGGGTCACATCGGGAGTTTTTGGGTTAAGTGCGATGTTTTTACAAAACTGATGGTCGCTGAGGCTAAATTTAAGGGTAGAACGAGTGATAAATGATCATCTAGTTTGATACTTTTACACATATGTGCGATTTTAGGAATGTAGCGCACGTTGATGCTATAGAATGAATTCGACTGTGGTCTGTGAATGTAGTTTTCTTCGACTAACGGCATAGGCGCGGGAGCCGGGGGGCAGTGGGGGCAGCTTGCCCCCCCAACTCTGGGGCCGTGGGGGCGGTGCCCCCACAGCTTTGAGACGGAATACCACACTTTTTTTGCAAATGTTTTCTTTTTTTGTTGAAAAAGCCGAGGGGTGAAAAATAAGTGGCCTAAAACCGGTGAGAAAACTAGATTTGGGGGTACCCTAGGTTGATCTCTATTATGGTGTGCCCCCCCCAATCGGAAAGTAGTTCCCGCGCCCCTGACTAACGGTCTTGGTAAGAACATAAAATAAATGAATCAGATTTCAATGTTCAGTTTAGGCAAAAACTATGATGGCTTGTTTCACTGTCGGTGTCGACTATTTTAGTCGGTCTCAGATCGTTTATATTATGTTATGCCCATTGGCTTACGATTGAATCGGCTGTTTTTCAGTCTGTTTTGAAGTGATCTATCTGATATGATCGAGAACGTAACATTTGTTAAGGCATTATGTTAGGGCTCACGTTGGGAATGGGGATCCAGGAAAGTGTATTGAAACGCTGAGGGAACATTCTTTCCCAAAACGCCTATTGATTTCTAAAAACTCATTGGATTTCGCTTGCTTAGGTTTTACAGTGCATTTTAAAAATCAGCTTTTCTATTTAAAGTGCTTCGCCTTTCGGTGTGCTTCCTATGCGGGCAAAGCTGCGATAATGTGTTAACTTTGGGCCTTGCGAGAGAAACGAATGCCCCGAAGCTGAAATGAGCACCAAAATGAAAGCTTCCACGGATAGGTTTAACTGATTACGTACGTACGTACGTTACGTACGTTAGGTACGTTATAATTTGCAAATGACTACAGAGCTTGGACATTTTAAAATTAAAGTGTGTAGGTATGTTCTGCATTTATTTAGGTGGATATATTGCATCCCGTCAATTAGTAGACCAATGTTTTATTAGAAACCTTCAGACACAAGAGGGAAAATAGCAGTTTTCCGTCACTCATTAACATTTATTTGATCGCTGACTAGCAGACTCCTCTCGTTCGCTGGAACTCCCCGCTGACCAGTTCCATTCAGAGCGGTGGTCTTCCCTGTTCTGCCCGGCCCCTCGCACTCCGCCCTGCACATGCCCGCGGCATATGCGCGGCCATGCAGGTGTGGCGGTTTCCCAGATCTGCTGGACCCCCCCCCCCCCCCCCCACCACCACCACCGCCCTCTTCCATCTCCGTTCTGTCGGTCCGCTGGTCCGCACCCGCCACGCGACCATGTCATTCCCAGCAAATGAATAGCTGACCGACGCCGACACGTCATAAATTCCGTATAAACTGCAAAATGCGACTCGACAATGGCGTTTAATTAGCCCTCGCGGCTCTGTAATGCCGTAAGGATTTATAATAAACAAGTTTTTGCTGCTGCAGCCGTGCGCCGGGCAGTGAGCGGGTTGGCCGTCTTTAGGCTCCGCCCCCGTTCGGTGAGAGGCGGGGCTGTGCCGACCGGCCGCCAATGAGCGGCTGGGACGGTCGGCAGGCTCCGCCCCCGGGTCTGCCATCAGCGCGGGGCGGGGCGGGAGCGGCGGCGGCGGCCTGAACAGCGCGTCAGGTGCAGTGACCAGGTGCGGGGCTGAGCGGCGCGTCGTGGCGCTCCGACACCGTGACAACCAGCGCCGGAGGAGCAGCGCGTCACGGCAGACATGGGGATCCCCTCGTTCTTCGCCGGCTACCCGTTCCAAGGTAAGAAAAATGGAGGACCGTGGGAAATGTGGGTGTGGCCGTGGGAAGTGACTGTTTATGGGATGATTGGCAGCAGCTGCTAGCCGGCATGTGTTGGTTGAGCTTGCTATTGAGGTGCTGTTAGACATTGCTCTTTGCTGTCTAGTCAGCCACCACAGAGAGTCGAATTATTATTAAATCACTGGACACTGGTTGCTGTGGAAAATGGAGCAAAGGGCTAGGTTAGGTGTGTTACGTGTGAGGGCTGAATGTTGGCTGTGGTTGAGTATTTCTGCACTCCTACGGTTCGTATCGTCATCAGGTTCTTTCTCCTGGCTAGTGGGACAGAGCTCATCATGTAACTGATAATCACAAATAGGCAATAGGCATGTGTACCTACTAGGTAAGTACGTAGTCCACTAGTGAAGGCTGACTGCGGACTTCAGCAACATAGCGTCTGGTGCTTGAATCCACACCTTGTTACCCCCGAAACCACGAACCGCTCAGTGGTCGGTAGATAAAACGTTATTCAGTGCCTACTTGGTCACTGGTCAGTGATCGTCACTGCCTGATCATCTTTTGCGCATTTACTGCTAATGAAATAATGTTAATTGGACGATTTGTTACATGTATACTGTAATGTGTAAAATATCCTATTCCCGTCTGATGAACAAAAAGCAGGAATGCTTTGCTTCAGTATAGGCATAGGTGTGCTGGTGGATCCCGAGGATTGCGAGAGAGATATTGTCAAAAATGTTCATTTCTCGACTCCGGCAAGTGACAAGGTTAGGCTTAGGTATGATATTATCGTCCAAAAACGATTCCAAAAGGTTTCCAAAGCTACCTCCATGACCCTTAACGAAATTTTACAGGCCGTCCGTATGTCACTCGAGGGCTTGTGCCGTGTGCCGGCGACAATGCCACCCCCCCTCACCCCTTCGACTAGAATCGTGCTTGATCACCTTTTACGCTTGAAGATCTGACGTCATAGTTTTTGTCGCTTCACAAAACGATGGTGAAGTGTCACGGGCCATAGAATGATGATACCTATCTTTATTCACATTTTGTAGTATTCGACGTAACTTTCAGAATAGTGTTGACTTGTTGAGTTCGTGGCTCAGTTCTATGTAGAGACCGCCGGTATGTATTTTCGGGATTTTAAACCTGATGTAACGTTTCAGCTGAGCCAATGAATAAGGCAAGACTCTTGCAACAGGAATGAATAAAAAGTCAAAAAGGAAAATCAAAAGTTAGATGTTATTCGCGGTTGGCCAGCGTTTCAGGTACCTATTGAGGCTTTATGTGCGCTTTTCACACGTAGGTATGTACTGCAAATAAAATACGCGTGAAATGGCTTCCCTCTCGCCTGTAGGCTTGGGAAGAGGCGATTCATTTCGGCAGACATTGACACGGGAGAACATGCTGGAGGTTTGACTGAGAGGACTGAATTGCTTAGCAATGGCTAAAAGCAGCACACAGACCAAAGTCTTGAATTACATGGACTTATTTGTGCAACAGAACAAGCCAGCTAGCAGTAGCGGCGGAACACCTTCAATTAAAGGGACCCTCCCACCTTAACATTAGATTTGAGTTGAGATAGCCAAAATGGGGTCCCTGGCTCACAATTACCGGTTTCGGCACTCACAACATCGAGAAATGCCTTAAATCGGAAATATTGAATTTCAAAATTGCAGCATTTTGATTCAGAGGGGCTAATGCTTAGGAATACCCCTCTGAATGTGTGACGTCAGCGCAAATATCTAACGATTTTAAAATGTTTGACTAAAACGTTTTGTAGCACGCGGTGGTATATGCTATTTGCGCGCAACATCTGCCGCAAACGCCGCACTTCTAAAATAAAGTCGCTAGAAACAGCGGAGATCCCAAAAAAGTAAACAAAAGTAAAAGTCTAATATCTTGAAAACCAGTGAATATTTTTCGGTGAAATTTGGTAGATATTCGTTTTCGCTCTTTCTGAACCGAGCGACATCACTTTCATGCCAATTCATAAACTTTTTTGAAGGTGGGAGGGTCCCTTTAAGGGGGGAGGCACTGCTGACTTTTGATCCCATTCTTTCCATGCAAGGCCCATAGGGCTAATGTTTAAATGCCAAAATCAAAGGGGGGCACGGTGCCCCGGTGCCCTCCCCGTTCCGCCGCCTATGCCAGCTAGTGGCTTTCATCAGCTTCCAACAAAGTAAAACTGTGCATGGCTTCAAAACGACATTCAACAACAGAAACTAGTAACGGTTTGCAATCAAATTAGCCCAATTTCTATTCTATTTTTTATTTGTCACCTTTTTCCTCCTGTTCCTTCTCATCTATCTTTGCTCTTCTATCCTCTCACCTTACTATTCTCTCCCCTCTCTATCTCTTTTCTCTTTTCTCTTATCTATCTCCTATCTTCTCTCTCTCTCTCTCTCTCTCTCTCTCTCTCTCTCTCTCTCTCTCCCTGCCGCCGCTTGCTCTCTCTATGTCCCCATCCCCGCTCAGTCTCCGGCCGCCCCGAGGGCCACTTTCGGGGCGGCATCGTGTAATTAAGAGCTGCGTAGGCGGCGCGAGATGCCCGCCCACGCGCGTCGCCCGCGCCACGGTTCCCACACCTGTCCCGATCCTCCCGATCACTGCCGAGCGAGCGAGCGGTCGAACGGGCGAGAGCGCGAGCGGGAGAGCGGCCGAGCGGTCGAGCGGTCGGTCTCACCCCGGTAATGGTCGCGCCACGCCGCCGCTTGTTTGTTGCCCGGTGAGAGTACAGGTCGACTACAAACCAGATCGCTCATCGTCGTGTGTGGCGGGGCGGGGCGGCGCGGGGTGGCGCGCAGAGCGACATTAGCGCACCTCGCGCGCGCGCGCGCCGGCCGACTTATTGACACTCGCGCGCCGGCACCCGGCCATCAGCTGACGATTAGTGGCGCGGCCCGCTCATCGCGGCGTGTAATGGCGCACCATCGGCCACCAAATGTATCTATTAGACGGCGGAATGTGTTTATTAGACGGGAATGTGCGCGCCGGAGGGTATCGGACCGCCCGGCCGCCCCGGCCGAGACCAGAGTGTCCGGCCGAGGTAGTACCGGCCGGGAGTGCGGTGCGGTCATAGCAGATGCGGTCTAAAGTTCTCCCCGCTCGCCAGCCCGAACAGGCTGAAGCCCGTCAGCATGGTCACTGAATGTCCACCGTTTAACCCTATTCCTGGCGGGGGGGGGGGCCTCAGGAGCCCCCCCCTGAGGTTTTTTGGTTATATCTCCCAAACGCGTTGAGCTAGGAAGCTCAAATTTTCTGACTTTTCCTAAAAGGCTTCTACGCAACATGTCTGAAAATTTTGAGTTGATCTGACCTCAGGTCAGGTCACCAGAGGCGGTTTGGTGACGCTACCTCAGAAAAGTTTGCAATCACGCCAGAGCTAGAGTTTTTGACCGATCAATTTCTTCTCTTCAGGGTTTAGTTAGGGTACCAGTATGTGCAATTTGTATATCTCGGAATTTTGATATCGGTGACCTAAGGTCAGGTCAATTTCGCGACCTCCCCATTATAAGTCAATGGGGGAAAAATCAACTCCCTGTTTTTACCACTAAAACGGGTCGGAATGGCCCCATATACCATACATGACTTCATATACGATCAACCTTCACTACCTTGAGGTCTGTTTTGCTGTTGGGCAGCTGTGAGGTCATGTGACGTCATCAAAGGTCACCAAAGGTTTTTGGCCAATAACTCCGTACAGGAACAAGATACAGACGCGTGGATGGTCTCATTGTGTTCAGCTCGTCAAGACGCATCGAATGATATACATGATGACCTCGAGGTCACGTGACCTGAGGTCAACCTTTGACCTTGACCTTTCGAGGTCAACATATATATCATTCGATGCGGATTGACGAGAGGATCACGATGATGCCCTTAGTTTGTTCCTATCTTGACTAATTCGAAAGTTATTCGAGAAAAACTCTCTCCATATCTAGTGCCGCCATTTTGACTTTTTCGACCCCTGTGACGTCATCTTTGACCTGACCTGAAAATGACCTTAGTAAAAATTGTAGATCTTGGCCGTGCGTATCCGATGCCGTTTACCGCTTGTCGCTATCTTGCTTCGTTCTCGAGATCTCAGGGGGGGGGCCGAATCGGCCCCCCCCCGCCAGTTTCTTGTCCCGGCGGAGCCCGCCAGGAATAGGGTTAAAGATCGATAGAAATGTAAATTAGGTACACCATTCAGCCCGAAAATCAAATGTCCGTTGCTACGAGGTCTAAATTTGTTCATTCTTTATTCAATCTCAGGTATGTTTTAACATTAATAATCGTTCATCTTTCCCAGGTCAGGGCCGGGTCAACCAGCTGGGCGGTGTGTTCATCAACGGCCGGCCTCTCTCCAACGACAAGCGACTGCAGATCATCCAGATGGCGGCGGCAGGAGTCCGCCCCTGTGTCATCTCCCGGTCCCTGCGCGTCAGCCACGGGTGCGTCTCGAAAATCCTGAACCGCTACCAGGAGACGGGCAGCATCCGGCCCGGCGTGATCGGCGGATCCAAGCCGCGCGTCGCCACGCCCGAGATCGAGAACAGCATAGCCCAGTACTTCAAAGAGAACCCGGGCATCTTCAGCTGGGAGATCCGTGATCGGCTCATCAAGGTAGGCTGGCTGCAATGGGTGTGTGTCTACACGGAGAGGGGGGGGGGAGAAAAGTGTTTCACAAAACTAACAAGACATGACTGCATTGCATAATTTATCATAGACTATGGGAAAATTAATGCTAGTAATCAGAAACAGAGATGGATATAATATCGGTGATTATTCCTCCCCACGTCGGATGGCTTTCTGATAATCATGTCAACACACCACCCCATTATACTGCAATAGCTCCATGCAGTTAGCGACTCGCATGCGTTGTCAAATTTGCATAAGCCCGTGTTCGGTTGTGATGTGCAAAAGCGGGCCACGGTTTCTCGGAATACTCTTGTCGAACGACCTTATAATGGCCGATAATGGGCATGTCGGACCATTACCACGAGTAAATGGTCTCTGTACAAATTATCCCTTCACCGACGCGGCCGCTCACCGATTAGTGGTAACCAGATGACGTGGTCAGTGCAGCCGTGCGCCGAAACTCTCGGAACACCCAGTTCTGACCGCGCACAGCATTCTCTGCGCGCCTGACGACTAACATCGGTACACGCGGCCCAAGCCACCGCACACTGGGCAGCGGCGGCGGCCGTCCCTCTCCCTCCCTTCTCCTCCCCGGCCCCGGAGCTCACTCGTGCAACACCAGTGGCTATTTCACATTACCAGCCGCCGGCTAATGGGCTGTTCAATAAATTCTGCCGTAATAAGAGAGCCGCGGCTTCTCAAGGCGGCCGTAAACGGAGCGCCGTCACGAAACACCCCGTCAGGAATAGGCCGATCGGCGAGTTTGTGCTGCCAGATAGGCGTGTTTGTGCTGCCAGATTGGTGCAAAATGCAGAATGGGATTACCCGCAACAGTTTTCTGCTTGAGTAAGCCTCCATGTCTGATCAAATGATGACTTAGTAAAACAGATATTTAATCTGCATATGTAACTACGCTGACAAAGCGATTACGTGATGAGGCTCCTGACCAGACATGTGGCGGTTGGTTTCCCATGATTGTTTCCGCCCGACAGGATAAAGTCATCACAGTGTAAGAGACTCCACCACGCCTATCACACGCGGTAAACACAGACTGATAAACACGTGTAACGGGGCCGAGAAGCCTTCCTGGCGTGTTCGGCCCCGATAATTACCGTCGCTCCTCCTGGGCTCTGCCGGGCGGCGGCGGCGGCGGCGGCCGCGTCGTGTGAGGGCGCCCCGCCGCCGGCCACCAATTTCACACGAGACCCGTGGGCCGGCGGCGCGGCGCCTTTGATGTCGGCCGCTCGGCGCGGTTTAATTCTGGCCAGCCGCACCGACAACTCATTAACAATGTCCTGCGTATGTCCGAGCCGGCTGACCAATCAGCTTACCCCTGTGTCGGCGACGGCGGCGACGCAATCAAAATTAAGGTATTACCCTAAGGTGGAGAGCCATTAGTAGGGTCTTTTGTTGGCGGCAATAGGAAGCCGCGGGGGTCGGCCGCTGGCCAGGAGATAGAGCGGAATGATGATCGGCTCACAGAGCCACCGATTCTCCGGAGATTTATATCTCTATTTCACAGCATTGTGGGTAAGAAGTGGGGAAGTAAGACGTTTTGTGACAAGAAACCACAGAATGTGCGACTTTTGAACTGGAGGCTGGGATATCAGCGCTTTCATTCTTTTCTTTTTTCTTCGACTAGGTACTTACATGAAGACGCGCTTCGTTTTCTTCAATAAACATAAAACAAGAACTACATAGATTATTTTATGCAGCAACTTCAACACTTTACAACTAATTCACCCGTACACACCTCGTAGTCTCGTGATGATCTGCTTGCAACTCACTGACCGGTCCTGCTCAATGCCTGTTCAGTGTTCAGTGCCTCCTCACTTCCTGCTCAATACCTCCTCAAATTTTCCTCAGTTCTTGCTCAGTACCTCCTCAGCTCCTGCTCAGTACTTGCTCAGTTCCCACTCAATGCCTGCTCAATACCCGCTCAATCCCTGCTCAGACAGTGCCTCATGATCTGCCCCATACCTGCTCAGTACCTCATGATCTGCTCGGTACCTGTGTGCCCGACCTGCCCGGCTGGGGGCTCGGCCGCGCTGTAATCAGCGGTGTCGCGCGGCGCGGCGCCGCTGTGCAGTCGCCCGCCCCCTGCTGCGGACACAGGTCGTTACCAGGGATCAGAGGATGCCGAGCGGTTCCGAGCGAGCCGCCGACCGCCCCCGCTGCGGTGAGGGCCAACCTCCCGGTACCACGGACAGCCGCCGGGAGCCACTCATTGTCCCGAGTCTGCTGTCCGCTGTCAGCTGACCACTCTGCCCAGATTAGTGAGTGATCAGTGTCGTGTCACTACGACCGATCGTCAGCGGGTCGTGTGATCAGTGACCCGTGACCACTGATCGTCATCCACATCCCTCAGCGCCCCCTCCTGTTCCTCGGTCCCCTTGAAGGGTTCCGTCCGCCCCAGCAGACGCTCGTTGACCCGTGGTCGATGCCTATCAGTCAGACGCGTGTCGCCGTGTAATGATGGCGGCTTCTGTATGTTTTTCACGGGGATTATCAGATATCTATGGGATGATCACACTGTCGGCACGAGTAAAGGAATGACACAGGCGGGAGGTAATGGAATGGGTTGGACGGTGCTTACACGGTCGGTTTTGATTAGTCCGGTCCAAACTCACCTGTTATCTTGGATACCATCAAGACACTGTACTGTGTTTGTGTTTCAGGACGGCCTTTGCGACAAGAACAGCGTGCCTTCAGTCAGCAGCATCACTCGGATCCTGAGAGGAGGCAAGCCCGACGACAAGAGCGACCACAGCATCACCGGCATCCTAGGTCAGTCAGTCGCGACCTCTCACACACTGTAAGCCGTGGTGTGTTACCAACAAGCCTGCTCCGATTGGCTTCAGCATCTCGGCACTGCACTCAGCGCATTTCGATTGTTTCCACTTGTATTTTCACTTGGCCTCGATATCACCTCCTTCATTTACAAAGAAGAAAGCTGTTGGAAATCAGAGAGGTGGCATAAGGTGTCCCCACAGTTGGCAACGCGGAGATGTAAATTGTGTGATATGGTCTTGTGCGTAAATGCAGTCTCCGCTCTCTTCTAGTGGCTGCGTTGCAGTCTCCACTTATCTTGAGTGAATCGGTTCGAGGAATGGTATCTTTGACATTTTTCTTATCTCTGCTTTGCTTACCTGTCCTCTCCACCCCTCTCTTCTCATCCCTGTCCCCTTCTCCTCTCTCCTCCCTCTCCTCTCTCCTCCATCTCCTCTCTCCTCCCTCTCCTCTCTCCTCTCTCCTCTCTTCTCCTCCATCTCCTCTCCCCTCTCCTCTCCTCTCCTCTTCGCTCTTCTCTCCTCTCTCCTCTCTCCTCTCTCCTCTCTCTCCTCTCTCCTCTCTCCTCTCTCCTCTCTCCTCTCTCCTCTCTCCTCTCTCCTCTCTCCTCTCTCCTCTCTCCTCTCTCCTCTCTCCTCTCTCCTCTCTCCTCTCTCCTCTCTCCTCTCTCCTCTCTCCTCTCTCCTCTCCTCGCCTCTCTTCCCTCTCTTCTTCTCTCCTCTCTTCCCTCTCCTCTCCTCTCCTCTCTTCCCTCTCCTCTCCTCTCCTCTCCTCTCCTCTCCTCTCCTCTCCTCTCCTCTCCTCTCCTCTCCTCTCCTCTCCTCTCCTCTCCTCTCCTCTCCTCTCCTCTCCTCTCCTCTCCTCTCCTCTCCTCTCCTCTCCTCTCCTCTCCTCTCCTCTCCTCTCCTCTCCTCTCCTCTCCTCTCCTCTCCTCTCCTCTCCTCTCCTCTCCTCTCCTCTCCTCTCCTCTCCTCTCCTCTCCTCTCCTCTCCTCTCCTCTCCTCTCCTCTCCTCTCCTCTCCTCTCCTCTCCTCTCTTCCCTCTCCTCTCCCCTTCTCCTCTCGTCTCGTCTCGTCTTCTCTTCTATCCTTCCCTCTCCTCCTCTCCTCCCCTCTCCTCTCGTCTCAGCGGCGGTCTCTTCAGTAGGTGTTGGTCGTGCCGCCGCCGGCGGAGACGCGGCCTGATCAAAGGGTGCCGGCTGCTTTTCCCAGGCCGGGCCCGCCAGCCACCGGCCCACGCCCCTCGCCCGCCCGACACCCACCCGACACCACCGGCTATGTCGGGAATGTCTAATGAAAAACTGACGCGCCTAATGGAATTTCTGACGGCCGGACGCTTTTGTGTGAGGCCGCTGACGAGGGGCGGGCCGGACAATGAAGAGGTGCCCCGGATGGTTTACCCGATTTGTAGGTAGTGATCACACAATAAGATCAGTTACAAGAGATATCAATGGCCTGTCTGAGCTCTCTTCCTAGGAGGTTATGTCAGATATAGATTCAAGGCATTTACTTCATAGTTACTTTGGCATCACCAGAGCACATGCAATATTGCAACATAGTAACGAATGCTGTAGTGTACTGAAGCCGTTAGTTTAGCCATGGATGAGATAATATTATCTCATCTCCTCTCATCTCATCTCCTCTCATCTCATCTCCTCTCATCTCATCTCCTCTTGAGATAATATTATCTCATCCCTGCTCAGTATTACCTCATCCATGCTTAAGCTTCATGGGTGTGCAAAGCAACTTTTCATTGGCGCATTTTTTCTACATGAACTACAGTACTCCTTCAGATAGATTACAAAGACTTCGCTCATTCACCCGATGGATTGTCAAAAGTACATTTTGATTTCGTGCCCGACGAATCCATAACAGTTAGACATTTAAGCCCGGTGTCCACGCTCGTCAAATCAGAGCGTCAAAACATGCCTGTTAATCTCATATTCGGGATATATTCCGCTGCCGTCTCGGCCTGCATTCCTGTGTGCGGTTTTTGCGCGCCGGAGCCGCCGCCCGTCGGCTGACCGTTCGAGGCGTCTGGATGACACTAAATGACGTGAGTCGCGCACCGCTGCGCTCTGATCTCACCGCCGCACTCTGCGCGCCGCCGGCTTACTGGCCGCACCGGCCAGCCCAGGCCAGCCGCAAAAACCGCGCCGCCATTCAGTGGCAGTCAGGGCCTGATCCGATCGCCGGCCGAGTTTTTGGGCGGCGGCTCCGGCGGCGGCGGTGGTGGGGTTTCAAAGCTGTCTCGACTTCAGCGAGATGAGGCGGGCTGCCGGATGGACTGCGTGGTCTGAGCCTGTTGACGGGCTCAGAATGCACTAAGCCGACGTTGATGAGAGCTTTGCGCTGCAGCAGCGGCGGCGGGCCAGTTGGGCCGGGTATACGGTGTCGGCCAGCGGCCGTGTTCTGTCTCGAGAGGGATTTGCGAGCCCCGGAGCTCTGGGTACGTATGGGAGCACAGTTGCTGAACTGTGACACCATCTGCATGCGCAGTCACATCTAAACTCATTGTTTGGGCTGGTATTGGGAGTTTCCGTGTCGGCAGCCACACCGTGACGGGCCTTTTAGCAGCCACCCACGTTCCACCGGCGACAGGTTGAGCGATGTGCTTGTGCGCGCGTCTCAGAGCCGTGTTCTGCACGGCTGCGCACGCGGCGTCACCCTGTGTGTTCCGGTACCGCACGGCCCACCGGGAGCTCACGGCGGGCGCCGCGGCGACCCACCGGCAGCACAAGGTGAAAACGACTCCCCAGCCGCGCGCGCGCCGAACAAAATACGGCGCCAACCCGCGGCGCGCGCCGCAAGGGCCACCTGTGCGCGCCGCGGCGCCGCCGCTTCGCCCCTAGCGCCGCGCAGTCAGTTACGACACCGCTACCAAGCGGAGCGCTCGACTTGTGCCGCCTCGACGGCCGCTAAATTATAGATGAGGCAATTTGTGAATTATTTCCTGCGATTTGTAAGCAGCTTAGGTGACGATTAGCATACGGGTTCAGTGTTGTTTTACATAATATCTGATGTAGGCGTCGCGCTCCCGCTGAGTAATCGCCTGTGAATGGTACACAGCGTTCCCGTGTCTGGTCGAAGGACGGGGCGCACGGCTGACCCCGTGACACACGTGCCACGTGATGTGCGCCGCGTGTTGCGTCATGTAAGTGCAGACGCTCCCAGGCGGGACTTTTAAAATGTGCGTCTGAATCACTCCCGCAAACTTTGTTTTGTGCATTTGGTTGAAGCAGAGTGTGTTCTATAGCAGCTATACAGCGTTAGTAAGCACTGACGGCTTGCGGGAGATTTGCAGACATTTCTGACGTTAAGACCAATCATCTGAGGTCTGGATGACGTTTAGACCCATTAGTTGACGTCTGGGTGATATCTGGAGCCACATTTGAAGCCCAACAGTGCACTGTGGCGTCCAGCACCATCAAAACAACCAGAGCGGTGTCAGCCACTCCCTCTCGATCCAGCCCCGCTGGGAAGCTCTCAGACCGCCTCTGGCTGTCCTGTGATGGACGGCGAAGGGCGCAGCTCCGCACGGAAGCTCCCCTCCCCCTCCCCCTCCCCCGGGACCCCCGTCGGCGTGGCGCCGTCGGAGCGGGCTGCTAATGCGTGTCTGCTGTCTGCCGGCTGTCTGCCGGCTGTCCGATGCCGTGTCGGGCAGTGACGGACGGCGCGGCCGACCGCCGGCTGTCTGGTGTTGACGCACTGGTCCGGACCCGGCAAACAGCGGAGCCGGCCCTGCAGCGGCGGCGGTGGCGGTGGGGGTGGTTGAGGGTAGATGCAGTGGTTGGTGGTGGTGGTGATGGTTGTGGTGGTGAAGGTAGTTACTTTATAATGGTGACTGTGAGCGTAGTGGGCCGGAACCACGGCTGGTTGATGGTCTATTGATGAAAGAGGCATGGCAGTAAAGAAAGATCGGTTGCCATGTAACAGCTGCTTTAATGAATGGGCTTAGAGCTCCTGTGCTACAGCACCCTGTTTCGACAGCCATAAGGAATTGGTGAAAGAATTCAGTGCTTGTTATAACTACAGTAACCGCTGTAGCAAACATCTGGCAAAGGAGCGTGACCTCATCTACCTATGACCGATTAATTTACAGAGCGCTAATATAACATCATTTACGGCGAGGTCACGGAAAATTTCAAGCTTTGTAAAACCATTTATTTATAGTCAGATCATTATTCATCACTGTGGTAAGGCATAAGCGAGCGTGAATGAATACGGCCGATCCCGTTATATTAAATCGCGGTAAATCTGTGCCCGTGGGCCAGACACCGTTTTCAGCGTGCGGACATGATAGGTAGGCTTAGCGGGGCCGCTGGTCCTTTGATGAGGGATTAGGGACCTCCCCTGGCGAGGTCCCAGACGGCGCTAGGGGACACGTGTCCCCACCGGGGCTCCTAATGTCCTTAATACTCCCCTGGGTTCGCTAATTCCCCCATCATTCAACAGAGGTAAGGAACGGCGCCTTTCTCGCTGTCCTCACACAAAACTAACCAGCCCCGCCACCCCGCGATAAACCCACTGATAGCGGATGTTCCGACTGATCAGTTTTGTCGTCCAACAGAGGTCAGTGGGCCCCTACCCCCACCCCCACCTCCACCCCCTCAGTGGAGACACGTGTTCGCAGACAGGTTACAAGAGTGCGAGCAAGCCGACCCGGCCTGAGGTACCCCTCCCCTCCCACCCACAAGCGCTGAGACCCGCGCTCGGCAAGCGATAGCACATCTGGGCCTGTATTTCAGCGGCTGGCGGGTCGCGCCGGGCGGCCAGGTCCGTCTGTCACTTTAGATGGGCGCCCCGCCGCGACCCAGCCCGGCATTCCGCGACTGCCAGCGGTCGAACCGCGCCCGACCGGCCCCTCGCGGCGCCCCACGGCCGGTCAGAGCTCAGCAATGCTGCAGAGAGTAGCGGGTCCGCACACGCAGAGACCATACGGGGAGGGATTGGGGCCTGCAACATGATGGTGTGCGTGTGATTACAGTGATAACGCACATGACAGGGTGTGCGCAATCACAACGGCAGGCATTTGTGCAAGATCAGCATGTCAACGATAGCATTTCAACAAATTAGTGACATCGAGCTTAATGTTAAAATAAATAGTAAAATGGGGGGCCAAGCATCCATGATACTTGGTCGTCTATGGATGATCTTCACCTCCCATAGACGGAGCTGGTCTCTGCACGCGTGAAGCGTGCTAACTGCTAAGGACTATTTAAAAATCAAAATAGATAACCTAATAAACACAAATGACACGTTGGCTCATGTCTGACGATATTAGGAGGTACTTACAAACAGATGATTCAGCTAAACTGGCTTCAATTTACTTTTGCAATGCAGCTCCGCCCAAAAATGATTGCAGCCCAGATCACCACTGAAGTTTTCTGGAGCGACACAATCGTTCATGCTCGTGATATACGGCATTCTCCATTCTCTTTTTTCACTGCTAATTAATAGGAACCGTGCTAGCATGTGAAGCAGCGATGCAAATGCTCAAAGTACATTCTCATTACAAGTGCAGCGTTGAGCTCGAGCTGAAGGACTGTATAAAGTCGCCTGCCTCCCCTCACCCCCAAAGTACCACTATGTAGGAAATGATACCTACTTACTATGGACGTCAAACCCCTTGAGGCCCTACTTTTTTGCGATAATTTTTAAATGCGTCAACTCTTGTTGACAATATTCTGGCAATGTGTGTTTCAGAACCTGCCTAAACTTTTATTACTAAGGTATTTTGACGCCAAATGATTATGAAAGGTACTTCTCATTCACTCGTAATGCTAAGGTAAATTCAGGCCCGGGCAGAGGCTTGCGCTCGGCCACACTCGAGCCCCGCCACCAGCGCCATCTGCTCTTAATGTCATCTACCAGCGCCCGCTTCCGCTACCAGCTACCGCCCACCATCAAGCCTGAATGGAGCGAGAGACGCGAGTGAGCGGTCGCCGGGCAAGGAGCGCCGGAGGGGTAGGGCGGAGCTTAGCGCTGACGTCATTACGTGGCTCCGCCCAATGAGCGCGTAGCCTCTACCCAAACAGCAATTTCGTTCCGTGAAAGTTAACATTACGAGTGAATGAGAAGTACCTTTCATAATCGTTTGGCGTCAAAATACCTTAGTAATAAAAGTTTCGGCAGGTTCTGAAACACACATTGCCAGAATATTGTCAACAAGAGTTGACGCATTTAAAAATTATCGCAAAAAAGTAGGGTCTCAAGGGGTTTGACGTCCATAGTAGGTCACCCAAAAAACATTGCGGTGCCGTCAGTGTCAGTTTTGGTAGGCAGAGCGTTGTAATGTATGGAACTTGGCATCTCTAACGTGCAGCACCGGTCTCTGTTGGGCGTGGCCGGGCGAGGTGGCTTGTTTTGTTTTGTTTTGTTGGGTTAGGCCCTTTCGGTCTGACAAGACCATTGCAGAGCCGGAAGGATGATAGGAATTAGGGGGAGACATTGGTCTGGGCAGGCACCCTAGTGAGTCGACGGGGCTGAGCCCGTCCAGAGGACAGACCACCCAGCCCCAAGGCACTCACTGCACCCGGCTACGGGGTGCGCTCCCTCAGGAGCAGCGGTGCCGCTCCAAGGGAGCAGCCCGCATGAGATAAAGTTGCCTGTCCAGCCCGGAGGGGGGTTGCGGCGTGGAGGAAAAGGATTTCAGTGTCCTGAGGATAGAAGCACGGAACGGTGGCGAGGTGGCCGCCTGAAATGAGCTTGATCCTACACGGGTCGGAGTGCCAGACGAGGAACGGAGACCACCCCCAGCCCCGATTGGTCACCGGTGGACAAAAAATATATTCCTGTCTGCAGGCCGGTTGATGGTATGCCGATGTCCTTTGCATATCATGTCCTCTTCCTCTTCCTATTATTTGTCTAGGTATGCTTTCTCTTCTTCCTCCTACTTTCCTTCCTTTTCCCCATCTTCTCCTTCCCTTCACCGGTCTCTTCCCTTCTCCTCCTCTACTACTCTTCTCCTCCTCTTGCCCTCCCTTGCTCCTCCCGCTCTTCCCCTTCCTCCCCTCCCCTCCTCCTGGCACCGCCACCTCGGCTGCCGCCGATGCCACCAATTATTAATCACCGGCGGGGCGGCCACACACCTCGCTCCATAGTCAAGCGGGGAGAGGAAGAGGGCTGAGCCATGGGCGGAGGTATGTCCCGGGGAGGGGCTGGCTGCCTGGGCTATAGGGGTGGAACGGGGAGGGTCTCAGAAGGACTGGGTCAGGGTGACTTGATGTCTTATCTGCAACATGTGAGTAACGAGACTTGATAGCTGACACAATGTGAAAGGCTGGTGAGTGAGATGAATAAATTTTATATGAATGGCGAATATAGGCCAGTGGCGAATATGGCTGATACTTGTGTGCTGCAGTTCTGAAGACCCAGATCCTAACCAAATATAAATGCCAGATTGAATACAACTTGGATCACTTCCATAAAACACAGTGTGAATAACTGTTTTCGCAAGCAGTTTCCTTGCAATTGAGGTGGATAATCTGCCGTCCAATTTGCAGTGCATTCACTCCGCTGAAAAACAAACTTGAGGGTTGGCGGTTGCCTCAGCGAAACATAATATTGTAAGCATTCCAGAGTGTAAAAGGACTTATGATATAACATTCTAAAGATGCTTTGTAACTCGGATTACTAAAAACGTTCCTAACACTGATGAATGGCTACAATATTCGGCCCACACAGGGCGGCAGCCCCTATCCACTGAGGCCCGCTCAGGTAGTGAAGCTCTTAGAGGACGGACTTCTGTCGAGTCACTGCACCAGGAGCTGGTCGGAAAAATCCCCACAAAGGCGGATTGGACACGGCTGATGGTGGTCGCTCGACCAGACCACACCGGGGAGCTCCCGGTTTTCTGAGCCGCTCTGTCCGCCGTGGATTTATTGCCGGGTTTTACAACACCTCTGCTGTCGGCGGGACATTCATGGTGCTGTACCTACCTACCGGCACCGGTACCCTTTCCCGCTACTCCACTTCCTCCGAGCAGTGTTCCCATTGTGTCTCGAGCCGGCCGCACTGCTCTCCTCTCGCCGCTCTGCGGAACCCACTGCTCACCATTGTCGACCACCTCACGTGATCCACCCACGAACACGGCCCGGGGGTCACGTGACCTGCCCCACGGCCAGCAGAGCGGACCACCGGCCGAGTCACGTGACCGGCCACGTGATCGGACCACCAGCGGCGGCACCCGTCGCCTAATCGCGCTCTAATTTCTCTAATACTAACGCCGACTGGGCATGCAAGCGTTTTTGCTGGTCTCCGGCTGTGATTGGTGGGGTGCCGGCCGGGGGCGGCGGACGGCCGGCCGAGGTCAGAGGTCACAGCTCAGGTCGCCGGGTCGTCTGCGTGCGAGTCGCTATTGGTCGAAGACGGACGCACAAAAAGTCTGATTGGCGGTTAGTGCGGCGTTAAAGCTTGGTCGCCTCTCCTATAATGGCCGCGCTGATTCGTCGGATTGTGGCCGTCTGTAAAATGGTGATGCCGAGAGAAAGGCCGCTGAAGGGTGCTGGTCCCGGGGAAAAACCACTGCCGGTCTGAGAAATACGAGCCATGAATGTCATTGCGGTAGTCGTTTTCTCAATTGCTCTACACGAACGCTCTTCAAACGACTCGCATCGCGACTTGTGCTATAAAATGTCCACAATCGGCCACCCAAACCCACTCTTCATTCTTGTTTGCTCTTCTTTTTCATAGCTTCACCCTCCCTCCCTCACACCCTTCTCACCTCTCTCTCTCTCTCTCTCTCTCTCTCTCTCTCTCTCTCTCTCTCTCTCTCACTCTCCTCTCTCTCTCCACAGGTGGTGAGAGCAGCGGCAGCGAGGACGACAGTGAGCCGGGCATCAAGCTGAACAGGAAGCAGCGCCGCTCGCGCACCACCTTCACCGCCGAGCAGCTGGAGGAACTGGAGAGGGCCTTCGACGTCACCCAGTATCCGGACGTCTACACGCGAGAGAAGCTCGCCATCAAGTAAGTCCTCTCTCAAATGGTCTTGATGGTACTGCTCAGTGCTCATTGATGAGGAGGCATTTTGTAGTTTGACATGTGAAAGGAAGTTAGAACAACTGGTGAATTTGAAATCGTCTAGCACGCAAACCAACAGTATAAGAGCTATTTGATTACTATTTGAGGAGGGTGCGTCTGTCCGTTACCGAGGTCCCGAATTGGTGGTGCTTTGCGTGGACTACAGGCCAGACCGTTGCACCTAGCCCGGTGAAATTTGCACAACTTATAGATCAAGGATGCGCGACGTGCCTTTGAGGGGTCTGGACTCGATTGGGTCGATAGTGAGCGCGTGGTGCGTGCCCAAAAAGTGCAAATTCGCGTCATAGACTTTACATGTATAAATCGGCGTGCGAAATCAGGCGAAAACGGCTAATTTTGGCCGACACGGGTCCAGTTCCCGTGCAATATCTTGGTGACCAGGGGTCCGACCGGCACGGGGAAAACAGCATCGTGTACAGAATTGAACGGGCTATTGAATGGTGTGCAATGCAGAGGATAGCACGCGCCACGTGCACCGGAGAGGGCACTTTTATTTGAAAAATTGCGGTTTTTGAGGGATTTCGGAATTAATTTTATTTTTAGGTGACCGTTAAATGGAGCGAGTTGAATCAACGCCTATTTGCAAGAGAAAGGTACCGCCTCTCCTGGGAAAATTGTGAATAGGTAATTGATCGACGCCAAGGTGGTACAAATCACGGGAGAAAATGGTGTTTGTCGATGATGTGCCACTTTATTATTCACACGGGTTTTGCTGTATAACCTGATACGTTTGGCAGTTGGAAATGGTACCGTTGGAAAGAGCATTCAATTCTGTCCAAGGCTCAATCTTCATTTTTACATTATAAGCAACACTATTCTTAAAAATGTAAATGTTCCAAACCATTACATTGTCATTTTTAGCGAAATTCATCGCTGGCCATCAAAAGACTTCACGCCAGTTTTCGAATCATTCTTAAGTGGAACGCATGATAATACGACACGGGCACCTCAATGCGATGTATCTTTTTTGTTTTGGCCGTCAAAAAGCATTCGAACGAAATGGATACCAACCAAATCGACACAGACCAACCCAATACGCACGGGTCACAAATAACCCTTCTTCGCGTTGCGGAGCACGCGGGTAACCCTAGTAAGAGCTATTTGAAGTTGAAATCGTCTAGCACGCAAACCACAACAGTATAAGTAGCTCTGTTATGTTTGATTTGAGGTTCTTGTTATAAAATACCGATCTTGTCAACGCAAATGTGTTCGGAACGTGTTACGACGCATGCCCTAGCGCCGCAGCACTCATGCATAAAGTGTGACGCTATCACAATGATTTTATTATAGGTATGGCCCTTTATTGGAATTCGCCTATAACACTGCAAATGCTCTGTTCTCAGGACCACGCTGACTGAGGCACGCGTTCAGGTGTGGTTCAGTAACCGACGGGCGCGGCTCCGGAAACAACTAAACGCCCAGCACCACGTGACCTCGAGCGGCGCGTCACCGGCCGGTCACGTGACGGCCGCGGGCCCGGCTGCCCCGTACGGCGCCGGCTGTCACCCGGCCGACGCCGGCGGCTCCAGCGTGCAATACGGTTAGTGCTAGACACGGGATCGGGTGCACGATCTTGGTCAGTATCAGACACGGACGGGGGGGGGGTACACGATATATTGATAAGTTTGCAAATATTACAGTTCAGTGTAGTATAATATGATGCCGTGCACTATATATATATAGACTTGTGCAAAGTGTTTTAGAAGATGCAGAAAATGTGAGCATTGAGCCGCGTGATCATAGAGGTAGGTGTGAATTGAATATGGTTAGTCATTTATTTACTAAGCATGGTCGTCAGGGGCCCGGGAACGATTTTCAAGTTGGGGGGGCGAGCCTAAAATGCCTGACATGATGCATATGAACCAGTGGCGTAGTTAGGGGTCTAAGGGGACACGTACCCCCCACCCCCACCCCCCACCCATCGGGTTGAAAGGGACCCTCGGGTCTGAGAGGACCTGCGGTGCCATTTGACCGCTGAGGGTTAACGGTGGCCATATTTCGACTCAGAATGGCCTCATAGGTCACGTTAGAGCACCTTATGGGCCCTAAATAACCACACTAAAATCTCAACAAGGGCCCCACGCCGGCTTCTGAGGGAATCTTGCAGATTTTAAGGGCCCCTCGGTGGTCTCCAAAGGCCCGTTACTGGCCTCTGAGAGTTCTTACCGGCCTATGAGGGGCCAGTTCTAGGGGCATTTCCCGCCTGTGATGGTCACACACTTATTTTTCCGAGGGTCCCATAACGGCAACTGTGGGGGCCCTCATCGGCGCCTATGAGGGCCCACACCGGTGTCTCTGAGCGTTTCACAACCCCAACTCTGAGTGCCTATACCAGTGCCTTTTAAAGCCCTATATCGGCGGCTCTGAGGACCCAACAGTCAACACCTGCGCATCTAAAGGCCACCCACTGGAAACTTTTGAGGGCCCCACACCGGTGACTCTGAGCCCTGAGGGCCCCACCGGCGTCTGACAGTACCATGCCGGTCTCTAAGGACCCCACAAGACTTCTTCTGCCGGCCTAAGGGCCCCGTGCCGGTCACTGAGAACCCCCTGTTGGTTTGTAGAGGGTTCGCGTCATCAGCTCTAAAGACCCCACACCCGTCTGTAACGGCTCCACACCAGCGTCTATGAGATCCCAGAGCAACGCCTGTAAGGACCCTCACCGGCGCCTCTGAGAGAATCACACTGGCACCTCTGTGCGCCCGAACCGGCACCTGCATGGTGGCCCATACCAATGCCTCTAAAGGCCCCTTACCGGCGGCTCTGAGGGCCCTATACGCCGGTGATTCTGAGGGTGCTACCGATAACCAAATGCATCAGACAAGCCCTTAGTGTCGCTGAGCTTTAATCCCATAGATACCGGCCTTCCGAGGGCGCCACGTCAGTGCACTCATTGCCCCACACCCCTCCCTCACACCCGGAGCGGGTAAACTGTGTTAAACCTATATTATAGCAACGATTTTACCACCGTTGTACGTTATATATTTCTCAAAGTTTTCTCAAAATGGTCTAGTATAAAATCTGGCCTGCCAAACTCATGGCCAAGGCCAGGCCCAAACCAAAGCGGGATGACAATAGCAGATGTTGTGAAATCGATACTGTATCAGCAGAAACCATTCAGATGGCTAGGAAAATGCCGTGTGATGATGTTTAGATGGAAAACAAGAAGGAAAGAAGTCCGGAAAAGGGAAGAAAGATCCTTTCACGCTGCCTCAATGTTGAGGGGGCGCCGCCCCCTCGGCTCTCAAGTTGGGGGGGGGGGGGGCAAGCGCCCCCGCTGCCCCCCCCCTGTTCCCGGGTCTATGATGGTCGTTTTCGCTCCTCTTGCCGTATTTTCAACAAAGTAAATTGCTTTTATCAAGATTTATTGAACCTTGCAATTCAAAGGAACCGTGAGTCTCATGAGTTCAAAGAAGCCGCCACTTGTCGCTCGAATCCCCTCAGGCGAGTCTACCATCCCATCATTACCGCGATCTGCTCTGTCATTCATTTCTTCAAAAATCCGCCGTCTTCCTGCGACGCCTCTGGCGGTATCAGCCCTGTTAGCGACCGTATCGCCACGCATGTCCCCTCTGCAATTAGTGTAATTTCCGGGCGGGCACCGCAAGGCGGCGGCCTTTCCAATTCTCGGTGCAACTCATAAAGTGTCGACACGTTTGTCGTAAATAACGAGTGCCGTGTCGGCCGGCGCCGTTAACTGAGCTGACAGTCGGCGAACGGCCGTAAACGGACTGACGGACCGACGGACGGATGGCGCCCTTCCGCGGAACTGGTGACTGGCGAGTGGTTTGTCCACAGTCTGTCCAGAACACGTCCGTACCCCGCAGACAGGCCTCCACAAACCATTCACAAATCTTCCATAGCTAGTCCACATCCGTTTGCGGACGCACTTTACACTGAGGCGTGAGCACTTGCTTGAAAGTGTGCTTTGGGTTTGGTTGGGATGGAGGGGGGAAGGGGTGTGCGATATCTGAAATAGTAGATACATCTTTAGAAGTAGCATCGCTGTTTCACGTAGATACGGAACGCGCCGCGGCGAGACGGTGCGGTGAGAGGCCTTTGGTGGTCAGCTGAGAGGCGGTGGAGCGGTTTTGTGCGCCGTCTGTCGTTCCGACGTTGTGTGGGCGTCAGTGAAAGTAAGAGGGCTGCCGCACTATGAATTTGAGAGACTATGGCGTCAGAGAGCTGGAACCTTAGCAGACATCTGACTGCTATTACTGCTTGTTAGAGAATGGACCTTATTCATAAACAAACCTTGATTCTTGCGAACGATAAAGAAGCCCGAAATCAAACCATATTGACATAAATTCGAAAAAATCACTCATTCAAATCATTCGAATCACTCGAAATTCGAAAGTATGCTGACCTAGCTAAGTACCAAGAACGCTATTGGCCTTATTTAATCCAAATATCCATGTTACTCTTATTATTTTGCCAGTATTTTGCTAACCAATTACAATACTGACGTCTGTTCTCTCCTGTCAACAGGTCAGCCGTGGACGGCCCAGCCGAGCTCCCTCGGTTACCAGGACTACCTGCAGGCGGCCTCCTCGTCACAGATGACGTCATCGGTGAACCAGTACACGGCCGGTATGACGTCATTCGCCGGCGGCGTGCACCCGACCTCCATGGCCACCTGGCCGGGCTTCACCACCGACAATAGGTGAGTGGCCACGATATTAGATGGAACTAGCAAATAGCTGGGTGGCCACTGGTCAGTGTGTGTGTGTGGGGGGGGGGGGGTTGAAATGGGGAGGGTCTAGTTAGTCGCTTGGAGCTTTCTTCCTTTAGTCGTTTTGAAGTTTTATACGTCGTAGCTAGTGGTTGATATTGCTCAAGTGCTGAGTGATTCTCATCACAATCACCAATAAATGCCAATTTCCTTAGAACCCCTTGAACCACTATATACAGCCTGAACCATAAGACGCCTCCTCTGACCTCCACTCTCCTCATTTTCAGTTTCTTCGGCGGCAGCACAGCGGCGATGGGCGGCTACCCGACCGGGTACGGGATGCAGGCGCACTTTCCCGACACCAAGCCGGCCGGCTTCCACCCGTACTCGTGATCGACAACAACAGCGATCGCCCGCTCCGGAACGGGGGCACAACGCATGTGTTCTTATACCACAGATTTAGTGTTAAAGTATGAGGACAGCACGGATTAACTGCAGGGGGTTGAGCCTAGGTGGAAGCGTGGCACGCTGACACATGTCTTCAGTCTGGGGTCACATGCATAGTTGCTCGACCCGCTGAGTCCCAAATGCGTGTGTGAAAACATGTCAAAGAAAGAGCTAGACGTCTAACTCTTTCTTCTCAAAGTTCACACCTCACCGTCTCGACGACAGCTCGTCTCGTGATAGCCATGCGTAACGGCGACAGTGCCAATGTTCAGTGCTACTAACATACAATAAATACTGGACAAGACGTTTACAAAATATCACGTTACGCGCTGTTACCCAGCTTGTGTTGACAATAATTGTGTCTCCATCGGTCATGCGTGGATAGATTACCTCATGCAGCGCGCTGCTCGGCTAAAATGCTATAGTTAGTTATGAAAGAGTCTTCCAAATTGGCCTTAATAGTGCATCATGGCACGAGGATTCCTCGTAACAATAGTTGATAGTTCTATCTAGGGCATGTGCCGCCTTCTCTTTCCGGCGTGCGGGATAGGATAGGACATTTCAGTTAGAATTGTGCGCTTCCTGCTTCCATTGTTTTACAAAATGTATTTATGCTATGTTCACCGTTTGCTTGTGCCAATTCTGTGCCATTACTTGCATGTGTGTGCGACTCGGGTGTAACATTTTTTTTTCAGTTCGTCTAGTGACATATTTTCTCGTGTATATGCTCTATAAATAGGTGTTGATGTTTTGCATAACTCGTATTATATATGTATTGTTTTTTCAGGTCTTACACAGCCGCCGTGTATGAGGCATGTGCCATTTCCTTCTAATATATCTATTGTAGACGGTTGAAGTGTGTTTAACTGAGCTTAAATGTTTCATGTGGTTATGATTTAGCGAGTGATGTGTTTATCAAGAGAAGCCAGTAATTTATGTAAAAACCTCATCCATTCACCGAAATGACATCCATCGTCATGCGGCACTAACCCTCGCCCGCACATGCCATTTTCCCATCCTAGAACGCACATGGGGGGGGGGGGGGTTGCCATCCTCCCGCGCCATTTCGTTCCTGTTGGAGATAGAGCTTAGCGGTAAAGACCAAAAAGATTCTTTGGGAAGAGACGAATCCAATGATACCCAGTTTTACCTTCTCAGGTCAGTCATTGACCTTCCAGGTCAGGTCAAACTAAAAAATGTTGCTGTTTTGGGTCACCGTTGGATATCAAGTGCGCTGCTTATCAAATACCGATGACGATGCTGTTTTCTGGTGCCAAGCCAGCTAGAACCTCTTTGTCACACTATCCGACCAGAATTTTGCTGCTGAGGTCATTTCAGGTCAAGTTAGGTCAAGGTCAATTATATGTGTTTGTATGTCTGTGTGTGTCTGTGTGTATACTGATGTGTGCACCGATTGTTTTTGGGTCCATATCACATGAAATCATGATCTGAGAAGCTTTTACCAAAAATGCAGTCAAAAAACTTCACAAAAAGTAAATTCAGCTTGCCTAAAACGCAATTATCTTAGATGACCTAGGTTGACCTTGACCCTGACCTTGACCCCTGTACATCGTCGAACAACATGTTCCATGATAGGTGGGAGGTAAGACTGGCAAAAAAGGCCGAAATCAGGGTGTCAAACGCACACAAGGCCCATGGCAAACGCAAGATGTTGAGAATTGGCCATTTGGGTCATGACATGACCTGAAAAACAAGGTAATATCTCCGAAACAAAAAATCACAGAAACTTGAAATTTTCAGTGGACATAAAGAAAGGATAGACGAGCAGCTATACGAAAAATCAGCCTTCTAGCTCTAGAAATGTTGAGTGCAGAGCAGAAAGACTGCCTGGGGGGGGGGGTGGCACCCCCCCCCCCCATGTGCGGGCGAGGGCTAATCATGTCTCAAATTCGGTCGTAAACGAAGAAAATCAGCGACAGTTTTTTTTTCGTCCAGCTCCATGCATCTGCAACCAAAGAACCAATTGCGATGGGAACAGCATCCACCGTCTGAAAACTGAGCAGGTAAAATAATTTTCCACTCGGTTCATTACATGAAGGTATCAGTAGGCAGTACCAACAATTCGCATCTACGTACTTACCTATATCTTGGATTTTTCATTTTTGTGATCTAGGGGCAGTTTTTATAATGACTTGGCTTGTGACCAAGTCATTATAAAAACGAGGAAACGCATAAATGCACACGAGCTTGAAAAAGAAAACACGTCAAAACCACCAGACCGCAATATATTTTCAGAATCATAGCATCTCTGTCAATATGTAATTGAATTGAGTGCAGCTAATGGCCAGCAAAAGGTCATGTCAGATCATAAAATGTCACCAGCAGTTTCTCGACCATAACCTTTGATGGAGATATGGTAAAACGATGAAAATACCTGGAAAGCGTTCATTTTATCGAGACTTGTACGCAGCATGGCATTTTCCGGTCAGGTCAGTCATGTCATGCAGTAGCGGCGGAACACCTTCAGTTGAGGGGGGGGGGGGAGTGCACTGCCGACTTTTGGTCCCATTCTTTCCATGCAACGCCCATAGGGCTTATGTTAAAATGCCAAAATCAAAGGGGGGCACGGTGCCCCGGTGCCCTCCCCGTTCCGCCGCCTATGATGTCATGACCTTGGCCTGAGGTTAACCTGCACCGGGCTGGGATGTGTTTGAACACCCCCTCCCCCCCTAACTCGGTTCCTGGGTCACGCAGCAATACGCGGTCAACAGCATTCGAAAGAGCGTCCAAAACCAGAACGAAATTACATCGGCCATTTTTTAGGAGTCAGGTCAAAGGTCAGGTCATCTGAGGTCATCAAAGGTAATATGTTGCCTGTTTCAGCATTTTTCGAAACACCGGCGGATAACTCTGGAACAAATAGAGCTACAGCGCCGCAGGAAAGCGCATTCCATAGCCCTTTTAACCCTATTAGTGGCAGAGGAAGGGTTTTTCATCAATCCCTCAGGTTTTTCAGGAATATCTCCGAAACGGCTAAAGCTAAGATGTTGATCTTCTCTGAATGTTCTTAAAACTAAGCTGGGAACATAAACATTCCCAGGAAATTTCAAGTTGCTAACTGTAACAAGGGCAGTTCCAGGGCATAGGAAATCGGGAGGTCCTATTCGTAAAGTGAGTCTTTTCGGTGAATACCCCGATGATGATGTAAAACTGCATGCACCAGTTTTGTGAACAGCGACTGAGATGTATCATGTGATAAGATACGCCCACTGCCCAGTGATTGTCCATCTTTTTTTATACCTACGTTTTTCCTATAACCGGAACCAGGCATCCAAAAAGGGGGGTGACATACAGTAGCGGCGGAACACCTTCGATTAAGGGGGGGGGGGCACTGCCAACTTTTGGTCCCATTCTTTCCATGCAACGCCCATAGGGCTAATGTTAAAATGCCAAAATCAAAGGGGGGCACGGTGCCCCGGTGCCTTCCCGTTCCGCCGCCTATGGTGGCATATCAATATGCACTGTGTCATTTGAAGAGCGGTTTGGTTACGGAGCGAGCGAAGCGAGCGAAGTCTTTCGTAGGTTAACGGAAATTCCTGAGTATGAGCGCCGGCCGGCCGTGGTCACGCTTTTGCAAAGCTTGCATCTCCGCAACCACTTGGCCGATTTACATGCGGTAATTTTTGGAGGGTAGTTTCACTCCTTCTACCAAGTATTGGACTATTCCCGATGCATGTGGGTGACCTCTTATGTGCCACGTGCAAAACGAAGAGGTGTCAGTTTTGTAACAATTGCAATATCTTGGTAACTACTGGGCCGATTGCGCTGAAAGTTGGCATGTAGCTAGGCACCCACTAAGCGATGCATATCCATGTGCCACATGGGGTGCTGCTGCACGTGCGCACGTGCAGGGGTCGATTCGAGATCTCGAGAACGGCCGAACCGATTGCGCTGAAATTTGGTAGGTATGTTGGTTAGGGACCGGTTAGTAGGGTGCCTTGCAAAAGTCAGTTGGGACCCATTCTGCACGTGCGCACGTGCAGGGTGCCGCTTTCAGATCTCGAGAACGGCTTGGCCGATTGCCCTCAAATTTGGCACATCGCTAGGAACCGGTTAGAAGGGTGCAGTGCACCTGTCATTTGGAGGTATGTACCCCCTCGCAATTTCGCGCGTGCAAGGCCCACCCTCTCGCTCACACCGTCGGTCGTTCCAACGAATCCTGGTCCCAACAGTCGTTTTTCTGTAAAACGGTGAAAATGGTGACTAAAAAGCGGTAACACTCTGCGCAGGCATTTTTTAGATATCTGCGAAACACCACAAGGGGGGGGGGGCATTCAAACACCCCGGTCAGGAGCGGGTTAACAAAACCACTCCTAGCAGAGCGTGGTTTCGATCCACGGACCTCTGGGTTATGGGCCCAGCACGCTTCCACTGCGCCACTCTGCTACAATACCCTTTGTCCCCTCCCGCTCTCCCCAAAAAGCGATAGTATAATCGGCAGTAAGCAAAAAGGCCTGAATGAAATATTTACTTGCGCTATGACGGGGCAGGGCTGTTGGATCGTGACCTTTATTGTAGCGACGAAGAGTTTGAATAGGTTGAAGGAACACGGAATACTTAAAATATCATGCAAAGGTTTTATGCATAGACAGGTATTTGTGCTTCAAAATTGCTAAAATCGTAATTTTGCATTTTGCAAAAATTAAACCAATGAGTCTGACCTGTTGATGCTGAGAGCACATTGGATTTGCTTTTCAGCTCAACTACCTTTACGAATCAACTTACATCCATATATGTAAGATCACCTTTTCCGATGAGTCCATGACCTTCATCCTAGGCCAAATTTTCAACTTCTTTAGATAGTTTTTCATGTAAAATTCAAGTTCATCCAAAACGTATTGGCGAAACACGATGCCGGTAAAATTTTTATTATCATGAATTTTGTTTTCATGCAGTTTGCTGTAGTAAATAGCCATTTCCATTTTACCAAGCATGTCATTTTTGACGGCACTCTTCTCTGAAATCCGTTTATTTTTTTAGTAAAATAGGTAATGACGCACAGATGTGTATTACCTACACGCATTAACTTGGAAAAGCGCTTCGAGTTTTTCATGGCATTTCAAGTATCTACTTACCTTCCGAGGTAGTGGCAAACAAAGTTGGTTTAGGTATTCATAAAGGCTGATTATGCTTAATTAGATATTCAACACTGCAATGTCAAGCCAATCTGGTCACAGCTGCTCCAGTGGTTAACACACATATCTTATTCATATATATTCAACTTAATTCATTCCATTTTTCCATAACAAAAGTCATCCAGTCACGGGGCAGCGTGAGCGTCAGCTAGTCACTCTCATCATTTGCATGACATCCCACTTCGGTGCCGTAGGATTATGCACACATGGTCCGTTTGGGTGCCATTTGCTACTGAACAGGCGTAGCAGCGCATGCCTGGCCTCTTTCTGTCAATCCCGATCAAATGGATAACGAGCTGCAGATATGGCAGAGCTAGACCTTCTGCGTGTGACAATGTGACACAGTTATAGGTACTTTGGGGTGCACATACAAATTACATGATGAGAGCAAATTTATCTCCACATTACTGCGCGGTTAA